GGGAAAAGAAAAAAATGTGAGAGAATGAAAAGATGAAAATAAAGTGTTTGTAGATGGGGAGGGGAGGAGGGAGTGAAGGGAGGGCAGAGGTAAGGGGAAAAAATGAGAATCAAGACTTGCCATGTAAAGGTACATGATCTGAACAATGAATGTAACTGTACTGTATCCCTAAATGTACCAATAAACTCAATAAAAAAAAATCAATAGCCTTCTTGTATGCAAACAACAAATTCACTGAGAGAAATTAGGGAAACAATTCCTTTCACAATAGCATCCAAAAAATGAAGTATCTAGGAATCAATCTAATGAAAGATGCAAAAGACCTCTACATTGAAAACTACAGCACTCTGAAAAAAGAGATCAAAGAGGATATAAGAAAATGGAAAGATCTCCCCTTCTCCTGGGTAGGAAGAATCAACATAGTGAAAATGGCCATACTACCAAAACTGCTATACAGATTCAATGCAATGCCAATTGAAATTCCAACAGTATATTTCACGGAACTAGAAAAAAGAATCCAAACATTCATTTGGAACCACAAGAGACCTAGAATAGCAAAAGCCATCCTAGGCAACAGAGACATGGTAGCGGGTATAACAATTTCCAATTTGAAACTATACTACAAAGCCACTGTGAGAAAAGCAGCATGGTACTGGCAAAGAAACAGACCTGAGGGTCAGTGGAATAGATTGGAAGAGAAAGAAACAACTCCAGATGCACTCAGCTACCTCATCTTTGACAAAGGAGCTGACCATCCCCACTGGAGACAGAAACAACTCCAGATGCACTCAGCTAGCTACCTCATCTTTGACAAAGGAGCTGACCATCCCCACTGGAGAAAAGATAGCCTCTTTAATAAATGGTATTGGAAAAACTGGATCTCAACCTGCCACAGATTAAAACTGGACCCTTATCTTTCACCATGCACTAAATTAAAATCCAAGTGGATTAACAATCTAAATATTTAAAAAGAAACACTAAATTTGCTGGAAGATAAGTTAGGCAGAACTCTGGAAGACATTGGCATAGGAAAAGACTTTATGAAGAAATCTTTAGTAGCATGGGAACTAGCAGAAAGAATCAACAAGTGGGATCTCTTCTTATTAAAAAGCTTTGCCACTGCAAAAGAAACCACCAACAGAGCTAAGAGACAACCTACAATGCAGGAAAAAATTTTTACCAGCTGCCCTTCAGACAAAGGATTATTATCTAGAATATATATGTAAAAAACTCAAAACAATCAGGCTCCCCCAAAACAAAGACTCGATTCAAAAATGGGCATCTGCAGATGAAAACAACACTGAAATTCCACCTCTCCCAACAAGGAATGGCTGCTATCAAGAAAGCAAACAATAACAAATGTTGGAGGGGATGCGGCGAGAAAGGAACCCTTCTCCACTGTTGGTGGGAGTGCAGACTGGTACAACCACTATGGAAATCAATATGGAGATACCTCAAAGAGCTGGGACTAGAGGTTCCATTTGACCCAGCCATCCCTCCTCTCGGTATCTTTCCAAAAGAATTAAAAGAATCATATCACAGAGATATATGCACACCCATGTTTATAGTGGCACTGTTTGTAATAGCTAAAACTTGGAAACAGCCCAATTGCCCATCAATTGGAGACTGGATAAATAAGATGTGTTTTTTTTTTGATAAGATGAAGTATTACTCAGCCATAAAGAATGAGAAAGTAGTCATTCACAGGAAAACAGATGCATATTGAGGCTATACTTCTCAGTGAAATAAATAAGTCACATGTAAATACTGAATAGTTTCTTGGTGTGAAAAACTATAATAGTACATAAGAGCCCAAGGAGATAATTAACAATGTGAAATAGGAAGAAAAGGGCTCAAGGAGTAGGGAAAGTCGGTAGGGTAGGGGAAAATGAATAAGGGAAAAGAAAAAAATTTGAGAAAATGAAAAAATGGAAATAAAATGTTTGTAAATGGGGAGGGGAGGAGAGGGTAAAGGGAGGGTAGGGACAAGGTGAAAAAATGAGAACCAAGACCTGTCATGGAAAGGTACAAGATCCCAATAATGAATGTAAGTATACGGTATACCTAAAATGTACCAATAAACCCAATAAAAAGAAAAAAAAATACCAAATAGTGTCTCTGGTGTGAATAAACTATAATAGTACATAAGATCCTAATGAGATAATTGTCAATGTGAAATAGGAAGAAAGGTGTAGGGAAAGTGGGACGGGTAGGGGAAAGCTAATAAGGGAAAAGAAAAAATATGAGAGAATGAAAAAATGGAAATAAAGTATTTGTAAAAGGGGAGAGAAAGATGGGGTGAAGAGAGGGCAGGGACAAGGGTAAAAAATGAGAACCAAGACCTGTCATGTAAAGGTACAAGATCCCGATAATGAATGTAACTGTTCTGTATACCTAAAATGTACTAATAAACCCAATGAAGAAAAACAAACAAAAAAACAAACAATAAACAAAAACAAAAATGGGCTCTGAAATGAGCAGACATTTCTCAGACAAAGAAGTAAAAGCAAATAAATATATGGAAAAATGTTTAACATTACTGGTCATTCGAGAGATGCAGATGAAAACAACACTGAGATGCCTCCTCACCCTAGGAAGAATGGCTGCTATCAAGAAATCAATCAATAACAAATGTTGGTGGGGTTGTGGGGAGAAAGGAACCCTTCTCCATTGTTGGTGGGAGTGCAGACTGGTGCAACCACTATGGAAATCAATATGGAGATACCTCAAAGAACTAGGATTAGAAGCTCCACTTGACCCAGCCATCCCACTGCTGGGTACCTTTCCAAAAGAATTAAAAGAGTCATACTACAGTGATATATACACACCAATGTTAATAGTGGCACAGTTTGTAATAGTGAAAACTTGGAAATAGCCCAATTGCCCATCAGCTGGAGACTGGATAAAGAAGACGTGGTTTTTCTATAAAATGGAATACTACTCATCCATAAAGAATGAGAAATTAGAGTCATTCATAGGAAAATGGATGCATATTGAGGTTATACTCTTCAGTGAGATAAATAAGTTACACATGTGTAAATACTGAATATTGTCTCTAGTGTGAAAAACTATAGTTGTAAAGAAGATCCTAATGTTATAATTTACAATGTGAAATAGGAAGAAAAGAGCTAAAGGTATAGGGGAAATGGGAAGTGTAGAGGAAAGGAAATAAGGGAAATAAAGTATTTGTAAATAGGGAAGGGAGGAGGGGGTGAAGGGAGAGCAGGATATGGGGAAAAATGAGAACCAAGACCTGTCATGTAAAGGTGCAAGATCCCAATGATGAATGTAACTGTACTGTATACCTAAAATGTACCAATAAACTCAATGAGAAAAAAAAAGAAAAGTAGTGCCAAGAAAGAACATCATTGCTTTTTTCCTGACTTTGAACCAATAAACTCAATGAGAAAAAAAAAGAAAAGTAGTGCCAAGAAAGAACATCATTGCTTTTTTCCTGACTTTGGTAGGAAAGCTTGGTATTATTAACCACTTGGGGGGAAGTTAGTTATAACTTTTTATCAATATTTTTATTTACCTAAGGAAGTTTCTTTGTATTCTTAATTTTCTGAGTTTTTATCATGAACAGGTGGTAAACAAATTTGCTACATCTATTGATATGATTATGTAATCTTTTTTTTTTAGCCTGTTGATGTGGTGGATTACATCATTTCCTAATGGTGAACCAGCCTTGCATACCTCGGAGCATCTCATTTGGTCATGGCGTATAATTCTTTTTATCCATTGTAGGTTTTGAGCTGATATTTTGAAGCTCTTCACATTTATGTTCATGAGAGTATTGGTTTGTAGTTTTCTTTTCTGTTGATTTCTTTGTTTGATCTTAAATGCTAGCCTCATAGAATGAATTAGGGAGTGGTCACTCGGTTTATGTCTTAGCTTCTGTTGTGTCAGGGATTGGTAGTGAAAGAAATAGCAGCCAAGGTAGAGTTCTACATTCAGTGTGAGTTGACACACATGCACATAACATTGTTAATAGCCATAGCTTCTCTTTGAGGCAAGGATCTGAGAGTTTTTTCAAGAAATACCAACACTTGATGGCAGTACCAGCTATTGACCCAGGTAAAGAGGAGTGCTAAGTAAGTTTTAGATGGCCCATGGGGCAAAGAATTGGTGAACTTAGATGATGTACCCACCTGGATCCTGCATTATCCCTTCTAGAACATGCTCGGGTTATGCAGGGTCACAAAATCTGCCAGTGAAATGGCCCTGATCTGGTTTCAGGGAACTGCACTGGTTTTTCCTGGCATCTGTTCTCTCAAAGGCTGACCTTTACGCTAGTGCCTGAGTGATGACCAATGGATTGCTATTTATGTGGATAAGGGACTGTGGCTTTGGATAGGCAGACTGGAGTGCCTGTACATAAATATGTATGGTCTCTTATGTTGCAGGACACATCTGGTCATAGGAAGAGAAGGAAAAAGCCCAGGGATAGAGAGGAGCTCTGCCTATACTGTTGTCTTCTAGCACAGAAGTCCTATGAGTGTAAGACTTCTAGATTTGCAACCTGATCTTCTAGGTCTTTATTGTTACATGTTTGTCAAGATAGGAGACAACATATTTTAGTTAATCGTGCTTAGCTTTGCACATGCCTAACCTCCCTTTGGACTTTTATGAAGACCCCTGAAAATGATAAAGGCAGATGGGTTCCAGGTAAACCTTCAGAGGAGATCAAATCAGATAAGAATAATAAAAGCAACTTTGAAATGTGAACACTCCCAAGAAACAAGGCCAGTTTATCCTTTTCCTTCTTTATTAATCCATCCCCACAAGTTTCTGAATTTAATTCATGAAGTGGTATATCTGTCAAGGATAGGACACCCAGATCTCCTTTGCTCAAGGGCTCTACTCCTACATCTTTGGCAAAGCATTCAGAGCTTTTCTCTTCCAGCCTCTCCCTAACCTCCAGCCTACTTACCTCCTCTGAGTCAAAAGTGTCCTGAGGCTGGTGGGTTAGGGATCAGCACAGTTCTGGTCTATCTGGGCTCTTCTATTTTTGCTGGATTATGGACAGGTCTAGTTACTTAACCTTCTTTTCCAGAGGACTCTTTTGAAACAGACTCTTTCTTGCTTTGCTATTTCTTTTCAAGAAAGTCTCATTCTTGTCTGAATGGGCTTCTTTGTTGGAGGATTGTAGACCACACAACTCTTCTTTTACCTGTGCAGGGTTTATACTCCACTGTGGATCTGCTCTTGTTAGAAAATGTGTGCAATAGAGTGCTTTGGGATTAGAATCCAGAGTTTGTGATTGTGTCAGAACCGCGGACGTCCTTTGCCATGTTTCCACTTTGTGGCAAAGGGCATATGGAGAGGAAGAAGCGGGCAGCTGTGTGTCTCCTATGGGGGACACAGTATCTTCTTGTGGGCCTTGCCCAAACTCAGAGTCTTGCTGGAGAACCAGCTTCTCTCCTCTCACTCTGTCCATCACTTCCCAAACCACTTGGTCCAAACTGTTCCTTTTGGGGATGTTGTGGGATGAAGATAACCGGTCTCGGGAACCTGTGTACAGGCACATTTTGGAAATAGCTTTCCGGAGGCGCTCTCTAGGTGAGTGGGGTTCAGGCTCTGGGGCCAGAATCCTGATGGATGGCACATCAGTTGGGCTGTAATTCCAGAACATGTGGGATGGTGTGAACTTTTGAACAGGTGTCTTGGACACATAGGAGTAGAGACAGAAGAAGGCATCAGCAGTCGCAGCCAGTGTTTGCACCTGTTTAAACCTGCCTGGGGACAAAGGTTGAAGACAGTGATCTGGGAGCTCATCAGCAAATTATCTCTTACATCTCTCACTTCAAAAACCTTTCCAAAGCTCAGACTCCAGAGGAAAGTTTCCATTTAGATCTCTGACACCCAGGGTTCTCTTTTTTGTCTTCTCAACTCCCCATCCCCTGTAGATATCCCAAGTAGGAAATAAAAAAATAGGCAAAGATTTAAAGACATTATCATGGTTTGATTCATGTCAAGGAGAGAAGGTCTAAAGGAAGCAATAATGGCCTGAGGTCTCTTGAAGACTACTTCCTCAAGAGAAAGAAGATTCTAAAGTTCTCCATCTTCACTGAACAAAGTAAGAGAAAAATAGAAGACACACAAGGATCATTTCAAGCTAACTGAGAAAAATAGGATTTGGAGCCACTGGAAAATAGGATCTGGAGCTCCCAGGCCTTGTTGTGAATGGCTGTGGTAACACTCACTGGCCAGCATGAGGCAGGGGTCCTCCATCTCAATCCTCTGCACCTGTGCCTTCAAGAAGAGCTGGAAATCAATGCCCTTGGCCTGAGAGGGGTTGGTGAAAAATCTTGCAGGGATACGAGTAGTGTCTTTGTGGTCCTCTTGGCCAAAGCCTAGACTGAAGAGGACGTCTTCTGCGTCTTCTTGTACCTGGTCCAGAATCTCTGAAATGCTGCAAAAAGGGAGTTTGGATAATTAGGGCCACAACTTTGAGATCTATAGCAACCCAGAATATCTAATAAAAGTAACAGGAGGCTGAAATTCCTTTCTGGTTACTTTTCTACCTTCCAGTGTGACTGTGGGAAAAGTTTTCACTACTCTGAACCTAGATTCTCTAAAACATGGAAATTACAACTCAGTCTTGGTTGTGAAAACTAAATAAAATCTTAGCATCGGTTTTTAAATAATTTATTATAGATGAGAAGAAGTTTAAGTAACTATGAAAACACTTAAAAAATGGAAAACAGCATAGATACAAAGAAATGTGGTGGCTGCATCGTTTCCACCTGTACAAGCTGTGACACTGGCTTTGGCTGGGTGCTTTGCAAGTTGCCACTCAGTTTACCCTATTCGGTAGTTGTTTGGGACACTTAGGCAATGAGCAAGCAAAAAGCATGGGCTTAATTTTATTTTCATTCTGGAGGTAAAAATTAATCAATTGATACATTCAGAAACTAATTTCGAAAGCCATATCTCCCTTAAGCACTATTTTCTCACAAAAAAGCCTTATCACAGCAGATCACAGACTCTCTCTGTCTCTTTTTCTATTGCATCGACCTGTGACTATGTCCAAAGCTAAGTAGCAGCAAGCTGGGTAACACCAATGATCAGTGACTCCATTTCAGCAACGGGGTTGGAGAGGTATAGATTGAAGCTTTGGATAATCATTGTCAAGGATGCTACCACTTAAAAAAAAATCC